TAACTGATCATCAATTTTTGAAAATACGCGGGAATTTTAAAAATGCTTACGGTGAACGGAATAAATATAAAAAGTGAAATGCTAGTTCGCGAATCGTCTTACTAATACAACAGTATAGATAATAGACGGGATAAAGATCGAAACAATGATTACGTAACACCTTCGTCCGGTCTTTGTTTTCCCTCTTCCTCTTTCTCTCCCCCTCTCACCAGCCCCGCCCCCCTTACCTCCCCGCCATCTTTTTTTTCCATTTACCGCGACAGTAATTTTCTTTACGAAGGACGAGAGGAGATCTCTTTTGCGAAGAGCAAGTTACGATTCGAATCTATGGATCTATGCTCGCGAAAGGTCGATCTAGGAATAGTAAATAGTATGTTAGAGAGAGATAGAGATATACAAACGTTTCGCATGCCGGACGATTTAACCTTTTTAACTTGATCCCTTTTTTTATATGCACGTATATACAACAGCAAATTACAGGAGTATATTAAGTAACCCATTACTGTAAATTTAAAACAATCAATATTTTTTTTGTAATACAATATTTTTAAATTTCTAATCCAGAGAAACATATTTTATAATATGATTATTCAATTTTTCGATTGTGATATCAATTTGATTGGTGAAAATTTTTCCGAAAACATTTTTATCGTCATCTAATTAAAACCTGTTCAAAAAAAATATCCCTAAGATTGAACTTAATAATATATAATATAATTTTTTTTTTTAAGGGGATAAAGCTAATTTAACGTTCAACTAAATAATCTATTTTTGAGAATTTTTTTTTATAGGAATATAGTAAGCGTATGGTAAAATTCGTATAAAAGATTTTATTGTATACACTTTCAACAACGTTCACTAATTTTTCTATTTCAAGTTTACTATGTTTCGAAATGGTATAAGATAAAAGTGGAGTTTCTTATTTTTAATGTAAAATATCACGTAAAATTGTTCATAAAATAAAAGAAGTTTGCGTACTTCGATAGATAATACAGTTATATAGTTTCTGTATAAATTTCGAATAAATCGGTTATAAAATATGGTCATGAACTTGCTGGCCATTTTAAAAAATGTGCTTTTCATGTATAAATATTTAAAATCTAACATATTCCTGTGAACGTGTTGCACGAGACTGAGCAAAAATATTTGAAATAGGCATTTAGAAATTTGTCAACTCAATGACACTTTTTCTTCAGTATTTCGAGACTCTTACAATCAATTTAAACCAATAAAAAATGTTGATTTTTTAGAAAATTCTATAGTGATCCCCTTAAATGATCAAACATTCATTTCGCAAAAATATTTGTACTTACGTAAGATATATATAATAAATATACAATTATTATTTTTCTAAGTATTATTATTCTGATTGACCCTCCTTTACATCTTATAATAATTTTGAAAAGATTAGGCATACTTCGTTGAGACCAATTTTCTTATCATTTATGTCAAATTTTACTTAATCTTTAATAAAATACTGTTTTGCAAATAAAATTGATATCAATTTAAAGAAATTTTTAAACACATTTCATTACAAGTAAATATTTATTGTTTAAAATTTACAGGGGAGGGGGGTGAGGGTTACGAATATTCCTGTGTCTTACTGTATATACAAGGTGTCCTGTAATTCTGATTCTACGTGAACAATTAAATCGAAAATGTAGAATAAAATTTGTTCGCATAAAGCTTTGTTTTAGAGAAAAATATGATTGAAAATTTGTCGAGACTTTATTTTGTTGTACTAATTCAAGGTCATCGAAATGTCAATACTTCACGAAAAATTAGACATTTGATATCGTTTCTCAAACTATAGTACATTTAACACTAATGATACATTACGTTATTTTTAGTGATACAATTTTTACACAAATTATTACAATAAATGTTCAGAAAAATGTATTTTAATATTGTAAAAAAAATTTCATTTACACGAATAAAATTAAATAAACGAATATAATATAAATAAATAAAATAATATATATTTTATATAATAAATATAAGAAATTTTATTCTTTGATTATAAACATGATTATACACTACAATTGGGATATATTGATTTTGAATCGAGAAATACTTATATGATGGTAAAAAATTTGAACAATTTGAGAACCCCTGCTTTACAGGGTGTTTCTTGGAACTGGGATCGGTCACTAATCATTATTAAGTAAAAATAGAAAAAAATGATAGCGGAAAAAATCATATGGCATAATACGTTCTAATTTCCTATGACTTTATTTTTTATTTGGATGCACTTGATAGGTGCAATTGTACTTTATTCTTCAATGTAAAACGGATGTTTTTGGCAAAATGTCTAATATTTCGTAAAGTATTGACATTTCGATGACCTTGGGTTAATACTTTTATACGCAAAATAATAAAAGAGATCGATCGGTTAAAAATACAAGATTGGGTTGTATTAAAAAATTAGATCGAAAAATTTTCAAAATAATTTTTCTCGATAACGAAACCTTATATGAACAAATTTAAATCTACATTTTTGATTTAATTTTTTTTACGTACAATCTGTTTGTGTGTACTACCAGTTACGAAAGGAACACCCTGTATATAATAGATTTTCTGTAGGTAAAGTTCATCATTTTGTACATTTCAAATGGAAACATTTAAGCATTCGTAAAATGATGGAAAATATAAATATCGCGTGGGTAGTATACCTTTAATGGAAGGGTAACCATAAAAGGTAACTTGCCGCCATGATACCTTTCTTATCTTATAGCAAAAAATCATTCCTCTATATATATATATGGCAATTTTGTAGCGTTAAATCTAACACGACTATCTCATCGCGTTTTCTTACGATATATTTTACGTAGGTGTCTAACGTTCAATGACTTATCCAAGTTTCTATTTAAGAACTGATTGATCGTATTAAACAATTACCGATATTTTTCTTTTTTATAAATTATTCGATGATATTTCTTTTTCAAACGTAACACGATTCTAATACTTACTTACTTATTCATTCGTTATATCCATGCGAAAGACATTTTTGTATTTTTAAATTCCATTTGAAAATAGAAATTTTAAAAAGCACCAAATTAAACGGTCCCTCTTGAAAAGGTCGGCCGCCATGACACTAATTCGCGGCAAATTTAAATTCGAAAAGGCGCCATCATACGAACTACGTCACGAAACTTAAAACAAAAGACTGAGAAAATCTTCGAGATATATTCTAACCGTACATTAGAAATCATAATAATTCAATACATTTTCTCTTCTATTTTACTTGTCATTTGTATTGAAAAAAATATACCAAAGATTATATATGCAATTTAATACGAAATAAAATCTAATTGTAAATGTGTATGTGAAATAATAATTTACCATCGAAACGTAAAATGCAATTTTGATCTGCCAACGACATCTTTTGAACGGACGGACGTTGTCAAGGACGAACGATGAACGAATCGAGTAAATTTATTTCCGAAAGATCTTTACAAAAATAAAATATTTCTCACGAATGTGTTTCCTAAGAGATTCGAGAACTTTTCGTTGAACCTGCAGTTAGTCGGTTTAAAACAAAATGGCGAACGCTGTGACAAAAGTGATATTGCGATGCGAAGAAGCACAGGAGAACGAAAATTTGGGTATGGCAAAGGAGTTTTTTTTCTTTTCTTTTTTACATTTCAATATATTTTTTTATCTTTATTATCGATTTTTTTTTCTTTTTTTTTTTTTGCTAACCTCTTCTACATTTTATTACGATCAAATGAAAGCTTCTTGTGTTACGTAGTCGTACTTTGGATCGAACTAAATTTATACGTTACTTACTTCACGTTACAATCGTTGTTATGGCGCGCTTTTTGAAATTTGCTTACTTGTATACTAATTTAAATGATTTATTCGCATTTGTTTTTTTTTTTTAAATATATAAATATATATATAATATATATACAGTGAGTCATAAAAGTATTTTACCCCCCTCCCTGTCAATTTTAAACAATAAATACTCATTTAATTATAATGCAATATTTCAAAATTCTTATACACAAAAATATATTTTACGATTATTCAGCATTTCAATTAATATAAATTTCATTACATGAAAGAGAGTATTTTATTATAAGAAAAGTTAAATTTGATACAAATTACGAGAAAATTGGTCTCACCAGAGTATGCCTAATCTTAAAATCATTATAAAATGTAAAAAAATCATGTACAAATTAGAAAAATATTGATTTTATTTTGTATTAAATCTTACGTAAATAGTAATACTTTCGCAAGATCAATTTTCTTATCATTTATATCAAATTTATATTTCTCTACTAATAATAAATGTTCTTTTTTGCAATCAAATTTAAATCAATTTATAAAAGTTTAATAATTATCAATTAATTTCTGTATAAAATAATTTTGAAACGTTGTATTACAAGTAAATATTTATTATTTATTATCCCTTAAAATGAACAGTAAGGATGAGTACGTATACTTTATGACTAATTGTATATAAAAAACGATTGAGAATTATTGTTTAATTATGATGAGTTAGTATAATATTAAAGATTATCTCAACTTGATTTTCATAATGTATAATATTCTGTGAATTGTGTAAAAATAACAAATTTTCAAGTTTTGTACAGGTGCATTGAACGATGCCATATGGCAAGTATCCAATTAGAGAAGTTTAGGTATAGTTGTGTAGCACCTAATATATGCGTTTTACACTTAGAATACGTTTATTTCGTAATCGTTCCAGACGGTACCTCTCTTCCGTACTTGGATTAAGAAAATCGAGCAAGAGAAAGCGTAAAGCCGTCGTAATTCGATGGTCAATTCATTTTCAATGAGATCTCTACGTTTACATTGTTGAGAGAGAGAGACATACAATATTATATATATTATTTTCTTTTTTATTGTTTTTCAGATTTGTCCGAATGTCAGTTAATGCAAGTACCAGATGCGGTTTATCATTTGATGAGACATACAGAATTGAAAAGATGCGATTTATCTGGCAACGTTATAACTAAGATTCCACCCAAATTTGCAGTGAAATTTTCCCTCATCACTGGTTAGTAACTATGATAAATATACTTAATGCGTTAAATGCCATGTCAGTTCCTACCAACCGGCTTTAAACTTTCCATCCAAGCCAAGTCGGTCACCAACAACCGATATTCTTATTTTTTTTCTACAGCTGATAAATCATCATGGTCTAAATAGAATACTTAACAAGGGAGGCTTGGTTGGCAGCACTTAAATTGGCTGTTAAAATTTAAGCGAACGATTTATAAAGATTTTTGTTTCCTTCTTTTCACAGAACTTAATTTAAGTCACAATCAAATGAGCAAACTGCCCGAAGAACTTGCCGAACTTCAAGCATTGGAAAGACTCAACATTTCGCATAATACTTTTATCGCTTTGCCACCCGTTACTTGTCGGATACCTCAACTTAAACGACTTCTTGCCAATAATAACTCCATCATCGGTAAGTCTTCAGGATACAGAAGAAGAATCTAGAACAATTATTGTTTGGTTAGTAAATAAGAGTTGGTATACTTATGCGAAAAGAACCTTGAGAGAGAGAAAGAGAGAGAGAGAGAAGTTAGAAAGATTATAATAAATGCAAGAAATAACGTTTAGTACTTTCCTATTATATTTCAGACATTGACGTTGAAAGAATTAAACATGCACCGGCGTTGGAATACATAGATTTGCAGGCAAATCCATTAACGCCAAGGATGCACGATCTTCTGGGTACCCTGACTCGTATTAGAGTGGAATTAACACCACGACAAGTAGAAGATTGGGAAGATTTGACTATCTGAAACTAATTCTTAGTCTGATGAAAAAAAGAAGAAAGAAAAGAAAAAAAAGAGAGACATTAACTAATTGTTCAAAGAAAGAGTCAGCCGTTAGCTTTCACTTTTTATGAATAAGCATTACGGCGCAACCTTCTCGGTTGATATTCGTTTAAGACTGCAAGACACAATCCTTGCATAGTTTAAGAATTAAACAAATATTTTGTACAGCGATATTATACATTTTGACTGACGGCAAGCGAATATGCAAGCGACTGTATTATATACATATAATTATTCATCGATATCTATTTTAAAATGATGCACATTTGTAACTTTTCAATTATTCGTATCTCGTTCTTTTTTTTTCGAGATATCTTTCATAATATTTCCGATTCGCATTTATTCGAATTGGGAAAAATCGATTGCACTTCTTAATAGTTTTGCTTCTTAGAATTAGTTTTTTATCTACTTATATATGTCTCTTCGATGTATTCTTATTGATAAGCCGCTAAACAATTTCTAAAGTTATTATTACTTTAATCTGACTAATTTTGTTCTCGGATACATAAGAAGAAGTCAAATTTATCTTCATTTACTTCGTTTTATGTATTTTAGTACTACATTAACAGTATACGACTGCCAATCTTGCGATTAATCGATTTTTCTGACAATAATATTCATTTTATTATTTTAATTAAAGGAAAAAGTATAACGAATTTTTCTCTTAGCATTTTTTATATATACAGGGTGTCCCGGTTTTTTTCCGCTAAATATTACCAACATATTCTACATGCAAATATAAGACAAAAATGTCATATATAATATAGACCTTTAACTTATTAAAAAGTTATAATGAAAAATATGAAATAATTAAGAATTAGTGTATCATCAATAGTTAAAATAAAAGATTATCGATATAATTTACAGAAATGAAGGAAAATGAATATGAAATTAATAATGCAATAGATTCTATTTTCCATAGATATCAGTTCTACATTCATAATAACGGACAGCATTTTAAAATGAAATTATAATTGATTGAAACCTGTATAATTATCAACCAACGACACCAGTTAATTATTATTTCATATTTTTGTTTACTAATTTTGTATAAAACATTTAAGGGTCCTCTCGTTTATATTACATTTTTGTCTTATTTTTGCTTATTAAATATGTTGGTAACGTTCGACGGAAAAAAAACTATAACACCCTGTATTTATATATATATATATAAAAATAAAAAGAAAGCAAAGATTGTCTGTAGATAACGAATGTAATATTAAAAATCGTCTCTGCGACATTATTTATACTTATAATTGTATTAAAAAATTAAAAAAAAAGAAAAAAAAAAAAAGAAGGAAAAAAAAGAAATTAATCTACAAATGTATGTGCGTGTACAAGACGCACACGCATGTATACAAAATTGTAAATCTAACAACCTACTGTAACGTATTGTTAATCTAGTCAACAATTCATGGGAAGTTGCAATAATGTATTAAAAGAAATAAGTGAAAAAGAGAAAGAGAGATAGGATAGAGAATTCTTTCTTTCACTCTCTCTCAATCAATAAATAATTTGAAAATAATAAATAAAAGAAAATTTATGAAATTTAACGCTACCTTGATCTTTATTGACATCGAAGCATGTCATATCAGAATACGCATACATACATACACATTATACATATGCATACATATATACCCACACTTAGTTTCTTCTCTCTCTGTGTCGTAGTTTCTTTTTTTTCGAACAATAATAATAATAATAATAGTGTAATGATAATAGTAATAATCATAATAATTAATAATTAATAATCTACGACATAATCAATATATAACACTGTTGTGTGTGAGTAATATGTCTTCGCATTTAAATATATAAATTGGAGTCATATTAAATTCTTGACACATATGTAATAGTAGACGTATGCTAGTCATTATACAACACGTGTAAATGATTTATATCGGTTTAGTACCTATATTTTCTTATTAACATATAAAATAATAATAATAATAATAATAATATATAATAATATAATAATAATAATAAAAAGAGAGTGTATTGAGTCGCAGAGTTAATTATCTACAATACTTGTTCATCGATATAAAATCACAAAAAATATACATTACAAAAAAAATAAAAAGAATAATAATAATAATTAAAACAATAATTAGTAAATATAATAATTAAAAAAAAAAAAAAAAATGTTACTCTCGCAGATCCATCCATTCTCTCAATCTCTTTCACTCTCGCAAGAATACTGTCTCGCTAATTGATAATAATAAATTTTTTTGTTTTTTTTTTTTTTATTTTAAATTTTTTCAACGTTATGCGATAATAAATAATTTCGTTAAAATCGTAATATCGAAGAAAAAAATGCATGACACGTGCGTACTAGGAGTTGTACATACACGTTAAATATATATATATATATATATTTATATATACAGGGTGTCTCAGACTTTTCTAATCAAACTTTCAGAATTTATTCTACAAATTGAAATAAGGAAAATATGTCATATTAAGTTTCTTTAGAAACGCTTTATTCCAAAGTTATTACAAATAACATGATACCAAACTAAACAACATTCTTGATATTCATTCAATGCTATCTGTTTCATTAATAAATTTCCGGTAGATTTTCAATGGATTTTCCCTTGTGCATAAAATATGAAAGGTCAAATGTATTTATCTTTCTATTTCAAAATATTGTTCTCATACGTGAGTCTTGAAATATTTCAAAAGTCACATATTTGAAATAACTCAGTATGATTGTTACTGCAACATCACTCAGAATAATAAATTAACGCATTAAAAAATGCCAAAAGTATTATCTGATAAAGAATAAACTAATATTAACCATGTAAATAGGTAGCATAATAGAAACTCTTGAGCGATCATAAAACAGTATCAGCGTAAACAATTTTTCTCATAATTTTGCTTTCTAAACAAACTTTATACGACACTTTGTTTCCTTATTTCAATTTGTAAAATAAACTTCCAAAGTTTGACCGGGTAAACCTGAGACACTCTATATATAATAATTAAAAAGATTTTATTCTTACTGAATTGAACAAAATCTTTATTAGGTGCTGTTTGTGTATATACGTGACTAAAGAGGGCAGGAGGAAGGAGAGAAAGACAAAAGGTTCATTTAAAAACCTTTCATTAATTTCAGTGCTTGCATATTTCATTATATACCGAAAGCTACGCTTTGATAATCGAATATATATATATATATATATATATATATATATATATATATATATNTATATATATATATATATATGTATGTACATATACATTAATACGCGAGAATATTATTAACTACCTGACGTGATTTTTGTATTTGTTTGTATTTAGAAATCACGTTTAGAAATAGGACGATATTCTATATAGGCTCCCCTGCTATATTAAGCAGCACAAAGTAGGAACTACTTCCAATTTTATAAATCAAAATGAAAACATTATTTTTCTAATGACATTTCATAGAAATTGTTTTCATTTCAATATATGAATCAGGTTTTTATCTTTATTGGAAGTTACTCCTTCTTTTTCTTCGTAATCTGGCACTCCATACTCGTGTACCCCATTTGTTCTCTCTCTTTCATTTCCACGGAATATTATGTACAGAAATCTATACCCTAACTAATTCACACTCAGACATATTTGTTTTTTTTTTTCTTTTTTATTATTATTTTTTCTAAAGAAACATTTTTTTTTTTATTATTATTATTATTATTAATATTATTATATTATTAAAAGAAGACTCGCGCTCCGGACTGACTTTCTCGTACGCATTCAAGAATATTTAGCCGTTTGTGATTTTCAGTTTGCTTTTTTTTTATTATTATTATTATTATTAATATTATTATATTATTAAAAGAAGACTCGCGCTCCGGACTGACTTTCTCGTACGCATTCAAGAATATTTAGCCGTTTGTGATTTTCAGTTTGCTTTTTTTTTATTATTATTATTATTATTTATTTTAAAATAAGGAATAACAAATAAATATTAGGGTTACTTAAAAATTTGAATAATTGATCTGAATATTTTCTTTTAATTAAGAATCAATAATATCAATATCTTTTCTTGTACAAAAGGATCAAAGAGAAATGCAAATGAAGAAATTGAAAAATTTATGCCAAGATAGAGAAAGAAAGTGTGAATACAAATCAGTCTTCTAGTTCTCTTGGCATCTTTTTTTTTCTTTTCTTTTTTTTTTTACGAGACTGTCCTTGAGCGTAGTCAGATAGAAATCTTTAATAATCAATTTCGTAAAAAAAAGAAAGTTAAACTCGCAGAACAATTGTTCTATGTAAAATGAAGCAAAGGATTGGAGCAGATGGGAAAGGAGAGGGAAAGGGAGGAAAGGGGGTGGGAGTCAATTTCTATATATAATAAGATATTTACTTTCTTCAATAGAGTCACAAAGTTCTGTTACTTGTGCGTTATCTAAAGCTAAACTGCACATAGTTTTGTTCTGTTTTATTATTTTGTGACCGTCAAATTCGACGATTCATTCGTCTTCTTGAAACCCGTAGGCGATACAAGAATGATTAAGTGTACTTTGGAAGCTTCAAGTTCAGTGCGATTGAATCCTATTGTATGTAACGATAAAAACATAAAATTGTATACAAGTTAAAGTCCATCTTCCAGAGAGAAGTACATATTAATATGGGATAAGCTTTGTTTCTTGGTTACATTAATAACAAAGCACAATTTTCTTTCATATTTTTTTGTTCGGTCTTTGTTCTCTTTAGAAATAACAAAATAAAATTGAGCGAATGGCGTTGGACATAGTTTACCATTATCATTATCATCATTGTCATCGTAATTGTCATTGTCATAGTCATAGTCATAGTCATAGTCACAGTCATAGTCACAATCATAGTCATAGGCATAGTCATCTTCATCGTCATTGTCATCGTCATCATCGTATCGTTGGTAGTTTTCTAAACTTGACAATATTAGCACGCGTCAATATCAAATGGTTAAAAAACTGTTCCTAATTAAAAATAGAAAGAGATCGATAAGAGCCTAGTGCCAATAATGAAGCCAACGCGCTTAACACTCGAACGAATAACCTCATCGAGCAAACTTGAAGAAACCTTGGCCTTAGAGTTCAAAAGTTTCGCATTGAACTGTAACGCTGGATCAATCGTTGCGCTTATGTGAAGTTAGATATCTCATTTAATGACCTAAAAGGAGCGGCTATGTGTTGTAGAGATGACACTCTATGTATGATGTTGGTACAAATCCTTCGATTGGTTGAGAAATACGACGAACGCGCGTCCATCCGTCACCCTGGTCTAATTCGATCATATACAATTCTTCTCCATCGTACATTGGTATAGAACCTTCGCTAGTGGCTACAAATTATTAGAATATTATATGATTTTTTATCTTTAATCATGATCTCTTATATATTTTCAAATATCATTAATATATATATGCTTACCGTCAAACGGATAAAGTGCTCTACAGGTCCCTAATGGTGGCTGTGCATCTATCTCATCTACGTAATATTCTTCTCCTCCACTACCAGGAAGTGACGTTCTTGATTCTCCAAGACCAGATTCCGGGCTATTCGTGGAACTGTGCATCAGTACCGTAAAGCAAAACCTTGTCTATTGGTCTAGACAAATATTCTTCTCTACTCTTTCAATTTATAATGAATCTTTTTTTGTTTGTTCGTTTCTTATTTCTTTTCTTTTCTTTACCAAATAACAAAGCAACTACCTTTCTATACTATTTCTGAATTTGTTGGGCAAATAAAATTTCTACACCGATACTTACCCGTGGCTAGGTTGAGGAGTACCTGGTGCACTCTTTTTATGAACCGGCTGATTCGCGTTTGCATTACTAACACTAGAATCAGAAGCTGATCTCGACAGACTTTCTTCCCCTCCCGAATGACTGGATCTTCTTGAACTTAATGGCCTTGTCGCTGAACCATTACTTGTAGGCTTTCGTTGTACTTGACTTGGACTAAAAGAACATAATTATTAAACAACACATCTAGATTAGGAAACACCAGCTTAGAKGTGACCAGTAGTGTTCGAAAAGTTATGGTAGGATAACGTTTTTAAAAAATTGACTCTATATATAAGATAGTGAAAACTTATGACTGTAATAAAAATGATGTTATATTGACTTATGAACATAACTATCAAGGTAAAATAACGCTATTAATTGTAAGCTTTTTTGGTATTTGTATAAGAAATAATATGTCATAATAAAAAATTTTA